AGGCCCAGTTTTCGCTTTTTGTTTCCCGTCAAGCTGAGCAAGCTCCGGATGATTCTGCAAGAGCGAGCTCGAATGGGATGCCTGATTTCAGGCCAGTGGACCACAGAAATACTTGCTGCAGGATTTCCGTTTTTCCCACAACAGGTTTGGAATCGTAGATGCCCTGTTTAGGTAAGTTTGGATAGAAATAGATAGCGCTGGTGTAGCTGGGTTTTACTCCATTTACCAGGGTCATCTCTTTTTTTCAGAACACCACCCATGTTTGGAATGCGTTGCGCTAGAAGAGCTCCTCGGGCTATTGATGGTGATGGCCGCATCATGTTTGTTGTCAGCTGGTCGCTTCCCTCAATCACACGGAGCTTGTAGAGCTGTCTTCCTCCGGAATCCTTTCAAAGCCGAAGGGTTTCGGGGCCTGCGTTGTAGGCTGAAAATTGAATTCGGGATCGCATCAGCCTGCATTTTCCTGTGCGCTCTCGCTTTTGCTGTGCGAATTCAGATAGGATTCATTGGCTCTAATATACACATGTGTATGTGTATGTGTGCACGTATCCGCATATGTGTTTGCATATGCGTAGGTGTATGTGCGTGTGTGTCCGCGCCTGGTGTGTGGGTGCGGAGATGTGCAGAAGCCCTTTGCAGGACATTCTGGTGGCCAAAGACCGGCCAGCCATCCAGGCAGCAAGCCTGGGCAAAGATTTTCCCAGTGGTTTCACCGTTTGGATGTGTATGTGTTTCTTGGGGGGCGCCCTTGTTGGAGTGGTCTTTTTTTGGTGATTTAAGGGAAGTCGAAAGGACACCGCCAGTTGGAGGTGCCGCTATTTGGTGTGTCTCCTTTGAGCTACCATTCTTGAAAGGCTAAATTTGAGGAGGTCACTTCAACACACCCAGTTTTGCCATGGGTCACAGTGCTTCCCTGGTTCGAAGGATTGGAGGAGCCCAAACAGTGTTTGGGTCCGAGTCCCAAAGACGGAGATGAGTTTTTTTTTTTTTTTTCTTTTTTCGGGCAGGAAGGAACACATCACCTTCAAGGCTTTTCTTTCTATGTCTGGCTCACGGACCGGATCCATCCGTTGGCGCGTTGGTTTTTGCAGATTTTCGGCGGACCACTTGTTCTTGAAAGCGAGATTCTAGGGGTACCTTCCCCATGCTTTCCAGGGACCCTTCTTTCCAAAAGCTTCGCTAAGCCCAGGGAAAACGGCCGGTTTTTGAAAAAAACGATGGTTGAACATAATAGAGATTCAAACCCTAGAGATGTGCAGACTTTTGGTTTACGTTTCTCTGGTATCCACTGGGTTGACTTGAAGGATTGCATCGGGCGTCGAGTCCAACGTGTTGGACATGAAGAAATTCCAAGAAGTTCCACGGGCAGTTTTTTTTCTTCTTCCGATTGCCGTTTACTGCAATCCGTTTGTGTCCTTTGAAGGACTCGGTTGGGGTGCGGATCGCGTTTGGCCCAAAACCCATATATGGATGTTTCAGAGAGCCCTCCAAATGGGTGGTTTCTTTTTGTTCCCCTTTCAGCAATCCAAAAAGGGTACCATCAACAAAGGTCCTACCCATATTGGTGTGTTCATGGCGGGAAATGTAGGGAGTCCCGAGACAATGTGACGGATGTTTCACCTCACCACCCGGCTGAACAAAACGTGGATACCAGGTAGTAAACACCAGCGGCAGGTGGATACACACTCCCATCTATGCCGGATGGAGAACCCACTGAAAAGTGGTGGGTGGACAATCCCCATGACATAAAATCCTATGTGAGGTTCAATCAAAAATCCCGGTTTGTCTATGCTTCAGTCACAAAAAATCCAGGGAGGTCAGTTTCCCTCTGGGAACTGATCATTTTGATGGTGGAACTGGACCCGCGGCTTTCACAAGTCCTGTTCGCCCTTACAAGATCCGGGGCTCCAGTGCAAAGGCGTGGGTTTCCTCTGGACCCGTTTTGTCTTCTTTTTCTCTCCGCGGAAAAGCCGCGGAGAAAAAATCCGCGGTGCAAGCAACGGCAGGCCAAGCTGAAGGTGTCGAAGCCTGGCGGAACGGGGCTCAGTTCAGTGGGTTTAAAGTGATTGGTCTCCCAAAGGGACATGAGCTACAATCAAAACCGATTCGGGTAGATGAACCACCCCTGGGTTTAAGCCTACTGTGGGGTAGTCAAAAAGTGTAGCCCTGGTAGATTTTCCATGTGAGGAACAATCAAAACCGAGTCGGGTAGATGAAGGTTAGGGACAATCCCCTTGCCATGAAGAGCTGCGGATCTCCGCCTTCTGAATTCTTGATGCATGGTTCTGGGATTATGATCATTTTAGCACCGGGTTTTGAGTATGACTCACATTGCCCTGTGTGATGTGTACCTGGTTTGCTCGGGATTCCGGGAAGGAACTTACACTCCCTCAGACTAACAGCCGGAAGCTCTCCCAATTTGCCGATCCTGTAAATGGGAGCTTTGGGCTCCGTTCGGGAGCTTCTGGCTGTTAGTCTGGGGGAAGGTACGTGCCCAACAAACCGGGTATCGCCCTATATGATGTGCACCTAGTTTACTCGGTGAGATTCCGGGAAGTGGGAAGGTCCGGGGTCCATCCAACTGGTGGTTTCCTTTAGCCTTATGGAACAAGTGTGGACCCTCTGAGTTGTAAATGGCATATGTCTAATGATTTTGTGTGAAGTTCTCATTCTTAGAGTATAGTTTGAAGGCCCAGACTTTTTGCCCGACAGCCAAATGGGTAACATTGGAGAAATGCGCAAAGCCCGCATTGGCCATGTCAGAATGCGGTACGTCCGCAGAAACCAGCCCCGGGACTGAGTTCTGTCAGGCATGTCTTCAACAAGTTTTGATGCTGTTGACAGTGTTGGGTTCCAATGCCATGCACGTGGAAGTACTCAGCCTTCAACAAAGCAAGGCACTGCCTCAACGGATGCACTTCTTCTGCAGAGATCTTGCGACTGTGGACGCTGAAGAAGAAGCAGGGCCTTTACAGGTGCCAGAAACAGAGGTATAGAGGTGCTCGCAAGAGTGGGGAAAATGGTAAAGAGACTAGGTCCCCCAGCTAGGTGCACTTTTACCAACTTGTTTGGTTGGGAGGGTTCCCTTACTAAAATAGACAAAGCCGAAAAAAGTTGGTGCCAAATTCTTCTAACCTCTCTACTGGAGGACCTAGGAGAGCAAGCAGTACGGGCCTCGGCCTTATGTTGAAGCACACAAGTCGCCCCCCTCTCCCCCCCTATTTTTCCATCACACACAGCGGGCTGGGCAGGGTGGGTGCGTGCACTGGCAAATTGGGTGTAGAAGGGGTGTTTGCCTATGATACCTTAAAACCTCATGGCAGGTTTCTAGGTTTGCTGGGTTTTACAGAACCGGCTCGAGCCGGTTTTGTGAGGGGCGATGAACCTAGATCTTTGCAGCCTTTTGGTAGAGAGTCAATGGGTTTTGGATGGTTTTGGGCGCACGAAACATTTTAGTCCAAAAGTGCTCCTTCCCCACTGAGGTTTGGTCAACGAGAAAGACCTCCCCCACAAGTTTGAGGGAGCCCTTGTTCCTTCGCGTAAGGGCCCAAAAAGAAAGCCCCTTTTTGAATGCAACACACAACACACACACACACACAAGTACACACCTTACGATGCCCGTCGGAGCCAAAATCATTCAAATCCCAAAGACGTCTTCTTCAGCAAGGCACTGCTGCCTTGCCGCTTCGGGGTGGAGCACATACACAAAAGGTGTACTTGGATTTGAACAGTACGCCTGGTAACATCGCATTCTGGTCAGCCTGTGCGCTTTCACCAATGGCGATGCCATCTCTGGACATCATGCCCGTGCAAGTGCTTCTTGGACCCTTCAAAGCTGGCACTGCCCATCACCGGGGTCCAAGACAAAGGGGCACTACTCTTCATGGTGGCTCCCAGCCATCCGGATCCTTAGCCTTTTAGATCTTCTTAGTGTTTAGTGGCAGTTTCCCATTTAACCCGCAAAAAGTTAGTCCCTTTTAGCGGGGGATCTGAGGGCAGCCCAGTGCTATGTGGTTGATCAACCAGTCATTCCAGCGTTTCATCCATCCTGGCTGGTGCCTGGCGTAGATTCGGTCCATCTACAGTTCAAAGTCTCCCCCCCCCGCCAAAAAAAGAGAGCACAAACAAAAATAAAAAATCAAAACAACGCAAACAGAAAAACACCCAAGAACCCCCCCCCCCCAAATAAACAGAAAACCACCCAAGAAAAAATAAAACACAACAAAGTTTGGCGGCGTTTTCCTTTTGGTATCCCCAGAGATCTACACTTCGCCTGTTTTTTGCGGCCGGATGTGGTGCGTCGGCCGAGGCTCTGCGGCGGCTCCAGAGGCCGGGCTTCAGTCAGCGCCTGGGGAGTTTCTGCGGAGGTTGTTTTTGAGGACATGCTGTGGATGGACGAAATCCATCCAATGCACCACCTGGCAAGCCCGAAAAGGATGGTTTCCCTGAAAACTCCCTCCCACTTCCATGGCACCTGTGGGCGGGCACCTGGAAGATCAGCTTCCTCTTGGGGCAGTTTCCCTGTCAGCTGCCATGGAAGGTAGGAGAAAGGCTAACATAGGTGTCCTTTTTGGTTGGTTTTGCTAGAAAAATGGATGGCGATTCCTGGTTTACCTGGTGGTTTAGTCATCTACCAGGGCCATCTATTTCCCGTAAAAGGACACCTATGTTTGCGGATGTCTCTTTGGACCAGTCCCTCCACATAAACCATCCATCCAACCAAGCAGCAAGCAAGCAAGCAAGCAAGCACCAAGCAACCAAACGAATCAATCAACCAACTAATCAATCAAGTAATCAATCAATCAATCAATCAATCAATCAATCAATCAATCAATCAATCAATCAATCAATCAATCAATCAATCAATCAATCAATCAATCAATCAGGCAAGCAAGCAAGCAAGCAAGCAAGCAAGCAAGCAAGCAAGCAAGCAAGCAAGCAATCAAGCAATCAAGCAATCAAGCAATCAAGCAATCAAGCAAGCAAGCAAGCAAGGAATCAAGGAATCAAGCAATCAAGCAATCAAGCAAGCAAGCAAGCAATCAATTAATCAATCAATCAATCAATCAATCAATCAATCAATCAATCAATCAATCAATCAATCAAGCAATTCATCAAGCAATCAAGCAATCAAGCAATCAAGCAATCAAGCAACCAAGCAACCAAGCAACCAAGCAACCAAGCAACCAATCAATCAATTCAAGAAGAAGCTTGAATTCATTTTAAGCCCCACAAGGCATTGCTCTGTAAGACCAGTTGGCAGGGATGTTGAAGGAGCAGGGATGTGCATGTGGTCTTTCAGTACCACTTGCTCTTGCAACGCTCTAGGTTGAATCCATGTGCCATATGAGCGGTGTTCCTTGTTGAGATGGTTTCCACTACGGATTGCGGAGGAGGATTCCATGTTGAACAAGTCAGGTAGACGAGCACTTCTATACTATGTCTGGTGCACTTCAGAGTTGTGCCACATATTGGACAAAGCTTGCTGGTGCTCAGCAGGGAATGAGGGAGTGACCCCTATAGACCAGCCCTTGTGGTTTCCTTTATTTGGGAATCCCGAAACGGTTCAGTCCCTCACTCCCTACCTATCGCACCAGCAAGAAAGCCGGACACTTGGGATACACGAGTCCACTCGCCTGGCCATATAGGATACAGGGTTGGGCGCGAGTCGAGATCCATCTGGAGGTCAAGGGATTGCAACCTGTGTGTCAAAGGGATTTGGAAGTTCAAACGAAATGGGCATGCGTTTCCAGTGGAATTTCACAGAGATTTGGATTTGGAGCAAAGGCTCACTCTTTTGGTTTAGCTCTTTGCGACAAGGCTAAACAGGTGAGCCTCAAACAATCAGACCCATCCCGTTGCTCCGAGACGTTTCTGAAAGATCAACAGAAAGTTGCCCCAGGAACTAACTCTGGTTGAGCGGGGGGGATGCCGATGTTGAGAGGAGACGGCTATGAATTTTCATGGGGGGAACCCCTAACAAGTGAAATCCCCACCTGAATGATGTCCACCAAAGGATCCCTAATCAAAATTCAAACCCAGATCACTCTTTGGGGACCCCTTGTTCTGTGGATGGGCAGAATCCACTTCGCACCACGTGGCAAGTTGGTATGGAGGAAGCTCGATTCGAAGACTGGGAACTACCAATCCCAACTGGGCGCGGATTTGGTCCGGGCATGTGTCAAAATAGGACCCAAATGGTAGTGTTCCTCTTGGTTTCCCTGCAAGGCAAGGTGAAAAGGCTCCATCAATAAGCACCCGCAAAGACACTTGTGGGTTCTTTCCCGGGAACCTTATTTCCAGAAAAAAGAAGAAACAGGCACCCAGGAGAACAGCTGATCGGGGAAGGACGCTGGTTGAAAGCAATGGAACAGCATTGAACCCTTAGAGTGAAGCCTCGAAAGCAAGACGCGCAGATTCCGGCTATAGTTTTCGCTCGAAAGATCATACGGAGCACCTCTCCATATTATACGTACAATGCACAAGGGGGGGAGACCTGTTTTTGTTTTGTTCTCTCCAATCACACCACCGATTTGTTCACCGATTTGTTCTGGTTTTGGGCTTCAAAATTCGGGCTGGGGGTCCAAACGCGGTGGCTCCCAGCCGTCCCCTTAGCCTATTAGCCTTTTGGGGTTTAGTGGTAGTTTTCCATATTTAACCCACTGAAAAGTTCGTCCAACTTTTCGCGGGGGATCAAAACCGAAAACGGGCAGAGTTTCGGGGTCCAAACTTCCGGCGCCAGGTCTGGTCTGCCTTCGTGAGCATCCTGCCTGAGTGCGCCAAGCAGCGCGATGCCGGAGTGAGATAGATATATATATATATATACTTTGGTGCATTTTGCTTGGCTGTTAGGACTTTAACTTTTTGCCAACTAATGGGTTTTCCACTAAACCACTAGAAATTAAACTTTTAGCAGGGGAGCAGACAGCAACCAAGTTATTATATGTAGATATTATACGTATATACACATTTTGGATTTTGCATATGTTTGTGTTTAAGGGTGTTTTTTTAAAGGTTGGTGTCAAGGGAAACCAAAGGAAAGCCATCATCTTGGGTCGAAATCGTTATTTTGACACCCAGATGCCCATGGCAGGATTTCAACGGTTCCTTCCCCTGTTTCCTCAAACTCAGACCCAGCAAGGCCTTCTAGTTTGGGGGGGGGGCAATGCATCACTGCCTTGCCCATTCGCGGCAAGCCGAGGCCATGTTTGGGACGCTTTGGCGCAACAGCCTCCACTTTCTGTGAGGGAGCTTCCTGAGCACCAACCTATATACGCCAATTGAACATACTACGCCTATACGCCTTGTATAGGGATGTCTTTTTTGGGCATGTACCCTGTGTAACCCGTGTAGGACCACTATTTCTGGGCTATGTCCATTTGGGGCATGCAAGTTGGCCCTTAGATTGAAAGTCAGAGGAGCCCGCGCATATAGCACAGGTCCCGCCATTGCGGTTCCGCGCTGACCTTTCGGCTAGGTACGGCCTTGAGCCCATCACTTCTGTGATGCAGGAGACGTGAAAAACAAGTCGCGGCACACCGAATGGATTCGGTGTGTGAAATACTGTTGATGGACGAAATCCATCTCGCACTACTTTGAGGCCATGGTTGAAACCATTGTTTGTTGGTATTTACAGGGGAATCGAATCATTCCAGGGTTTCTGAACTGTGGTGCGCAATGGATTTCGCAACCATCCCAAGTAGGGACCCCTTGAAACATCAACTAGCAAAGGTGCCCACCCCATGTTGGGGCAAACACCGCAGAGCCCTCATGGGAAGGCAACGGAGCCGCTCGACTATGGATGGTCTTTACTTGACCTTGATGGGCAAGTGTGACATTAAGAACAATCCAAAAAGAGTGCCCCCCAAAAATATGCACCCGTCACCCAAATGCTTCTGCTGACTTGGCTTTGGTCCCCGAGATAAGCCTCAGAAGGTTTCTTTTCGGCGGTAAGCCGAGTGCGAGCTTTGGGGGACCTTTGGGCAGAAAGGGTGAGGTTCGCATTCTCGTCGGCGCGCGCACCGCAACTTGGAACACCGTTTCTCCACAGTCTCCTCAAAGTGAGGCTGGATTCCTGCCTCACGCATGCAAATCCCAAGCTCCCCGGAATAAGTGTCCCAGCGGAAATTTCTTTCAAAAGATCCCACCCAGAGAATGGCAGAATGGCACTCGAGTCTTGGCACCCCCCCCCTCCCTCCCATCCCCAGACTTCCGGGTCTGGGAGATTCCTTTTCGATCTCTCTCAGTTGCCAGCCACAGACTTGGGCTCGATCCTTCGAGGTTGGAGTTCCATATACCGAAGGAACCCCCCCTGGGTTTTTGGCAGATTGTTCAACCCAAACTTGGATGTTTGTTTCTGGGCCGCCAAATTCAGGTTGAAGGAGTTCCCATGGGAGAAGAACGAGCCGCCACATTTTCCTTAGGTCAACCGGGCTCCTGGCCCTGGACCACTGGAAGCCTTGCCCAATTTCAGCCTCCCGGCCCCTTTGAGGGGTGACCTGGAGTATCCTCGGGGAACGGCCAAGGCGCTTCCAAAAAATGGGGACAAGTTGTAACCCAATTCTTCAAAGGACAGTTTGCGGCTTTGAGGGCGCAAACAGTCGCAACCTGTGAGCGTGGAGCTGGGTCAAAATCCAAATCGTACCCCCAGTGAACATCCCAATCCAACCACTGAAATAGGTAACCTAAAATGGGTGGTAGCATTGGTTTTGACCTGACCAGCCACGTGGAGCTGGTTGAATCGTGGCAGGCTTGAGACTTGGGTCTGGGAGTGTCAGGACACCATCGCCCTGGCACGCCGGAAGGCGGGTGGTTGGCGCAGTTGGTTCGCCGGATTGGGCGACTTGCAGAGAAGCCGGTGGAACACTGGTGGAAGCAGCGGGTTAAACGAAAAACAAAGGAGACAAATGGAGGAAAAGGGGGTTAAGGGTTTAAACGAAAGAAGGGGGCTAAACGAAGAAAAAATGGAGAAACCTTCCAGGGGTGGTTTTAGGGGTCCTTTACATGTCGACTTGGGGAGGCCAAGTGCAACATGAGCGTCCTGGCATGTTTAGAGGGTCCGTACAAGGAACCCTGCCTGGGAATCGAGCGGTAGATCCGGGCAACCCTTTCAGACCCGAAAGAAGGTGCCTGCCTCATTCATCCAGGACCCCATATGGTTTTCATGATAAAGGGGCCTGCCCCAAAAGCAAAGTAATCTTCCACAACCCTCCTGTCAGCCTTCATGATTGTTGGAGGGAGGTAACTATTTTGTTTAATTCATTTCAAGCACTTCGGGCCGGTGAGTCAAAGAGTAAAACAGTAGAACAAATCCACACGAGCATCCCAAAGGTTTCCTGAAAGCATCCTTCGGATGTTCCCGCGTGATCCACCTATTGTTTCTGGGTTCGATCACAATCCTATTTTTGTTTTACATTGCCCAAAGGGAAACCATTTACGGCAATGGGGTAATTTTGTCTTTTTCCCCAAGATCTGGGGAATTGGCCGTACCCTTTGTGGGCCGAGCAGCCAATTTCACGTGCTGTGGAAGTGGGGAAGGGGTATGCTAGGACGGATCGGAGGATCTTCCAGTTTCCTCGAGACCTCTTTCACCCCAGAGGACTTTCGTTTTCAACAAGAGGACTTCGACTCCTCGAACTCCCTTATCTTGCATTTGCAATAGAATATGCTTTGGTTTCCCTCTTGGTGTTAGAGGGAATCGAATCAACTACAGACATATTCTCGTTCTTAGGGCAGTCCAGCCAACGGAGCTTACACACATCAGGATTCTCAGAATCATGGGGCGAGTTCCACCATGTTTGAGGGCATCATGATTGCTTCTTTTGACTTGACACCAGGAGTTTTGCATGGCCCAGTTTCCCCCCTCTCCCCCTTCCCAAGCCACACCACCCCCCTCCCCCCATCCCAAGCCACCCCCCACCCCCCCTCCCCAACCCAAGCCAGCCACAGGTGAAGGAACTCCCTGGCTGCGACAGTCTTCTGGAGCAAATCGAGCAGCTGCCGGGATCCCCTGAAAAGCAAATCGAGCACCGGGGGGTGCCGACCCTTGCCGAGTCTGGGGTGTTGGGAATGGGCCTTTTTCTTTTGGGGGGGGGATTCCCTGAACGAAAGCCACATTTGGGATGGTTTTTCTTGGGGTCATTCTCCTAACAACCAAACTTTGAAACAGAGAAACCCATTGAAACCACTCGCAAACTTTCTACCTCAGGATTTCAGATTATGTTAGCCAAGAGCAGCCCTAGTGATGGATGACCTGCATCTCAGGTTGCCGCGTTCCTGCCTCCTGTTGGTTTTAAAGGAAGCCCAAAGGAAACCGCCCTTTTTGGAGGTGGATGTCCTAAATTTTGCAAAAGCGCGGGAGACGATTTTCACGATTTTTTCACCCCTGAACTTTGTGGTTAAGTGTAGGTTGGCATATTTGCAGGATGTAAAGTTAAAACCAGAGGGTTGGCAAGACAGAGGGTCACCAGGATTAATGGTGGTTGGCTTATTTTGGATATAATATTTGTGGTTGGCATGAACTGTAAAACCGCCCTTTTCGGGGCGGTTTTCAGCATTACTTCTGAGGCTTTCAGGTTGGATCGGCCGGTTGTTCGGAGGCGCATGGGGACTTTCTGGAAATCCCCTTTCGGGGTTGGTTTTTAAGCGAAGTTTGTGGGTGGGAGGGTTCCTCTCGGAAGGTATGTGCGGGGTCCAAGTACATCCTTGCGGCCTCTGCGGCATCGTTGTCTACCCCTATTGTCTTTACTTGGGAACTTGCTGGGTTGGCCAGCTAGTGGTTGCCAGGTTTTTTCTTATCACCCACTTATCAGTCCCACCCCCCGTTCAGCGGATTTCACCTCGTGATTCGTGGGATTAGAACCCAAGTGGCTGACCACTTACCAGCTTGGCCGAACACCCAAGCGGGGAAGCGACGCTTCCCCGCCGAAAGGCCTTGCAGCCTGAGGGCCGCGCACAACTGGACCGCTCTTGGGTTGGATCTGTAGACTTTGACTTTTGGGTTGAAATCAAGTTGGGTTGTTTTGAAGTAAACCCAGAAAGAGCTACACGTTTTGCAGAGGGGTTGTTACAGCAACCAAGAAAACGGCTGGATACACGTGGAGGCAAAAGGCTGAGGGGCAGGGATCGATCGGCTCTCACTGAGGCAAGGTGCCGCGCAGGCCGGGCGGCGATTTTTTCCAAGGGGCGCAAGTCTCTGAGGATCCAGGTGTGTCCCCTGTGAGCCACAATCAAAACCCGGGCAAGTGAGGGTTAGTAAGGGACGATCTTGGCCATAAATAGCCGCGCCCGCCTTCTTAGTTCTTTTCATGGTTCTGGGTCGACCATTTGTGTACCGGGTTTTGATTGTGACTCAGGTAGGGGTGTTTGTTGGGCAATCCCATGAGACCAACTCATCTCCCTTGAACATGGGGCAGCAGAAACTCGTTGGCTACAAGACACTGTGGCAGAACTCCACTTTTATATCCTGCATCCTCAAGTGTCGCATGAGCGCCGGACGCCCGTTTACTTTCGTACCGAAATGGTTGTGCAGGCTTACTAGAGGCTGGAGATTGCCTAAATCCAAAGTTTCTGCAAAAAGAAGCCAATAGGGAATTGGCAATTGATTAACTTTTGAGACTCTCTAGTAAACACCAAGCCCTTGGAACCAACCAGCCGAACCCGGCAAGATGGTCAGCAGGCATTTTGTTTCTTGAAAAGCAGCTCAAACAGGGGGTCCCTCTCTTGAGACGTCAGGAGAAAGACAGTGCATTTTTGGGAACATGCTGTGACTGTGACAAAAGGAACCCGTGGGGTGTCGGAATTCCGCCACGATTGTTGGAATTAGGGGGAGGGTATTTGAACTGCTGTGGATGGACAAATCCATCAGTAGGTGGTTGGTCCTAGAATTCAGAGGGTTTCATCCATCCAAGCTGTTCCAAAGCGGACTTTGTCTTGCTGGTGCTTAGGGACTCGAGGAATGAATGACCCCTATAAACCATCCAACTTTAGGGGGTGGTTTCCTTTAAGGGGACCAAAGCCACTGGGTTCCTTCCATTTCTCATTTCCAACTTCTCGCACCGATCCCAAGTTGTCCATCCAAGTCACCTGCTCCTGGCCAAGACTTGAAGTTGACCCTGCCGGCCGGCGGGGCAATCCTTTTGTTGGGAAGTGCTTGACTTGGCTCTGGCCAAGCCGGGGATCTTTGTTGGGCTGTTGGGTTGTTGGTTCTTGGGCTGTTGGGTTCTTGGGCTGTTGGGTTCTTGGGTTGTTGGGTTCTTGGGTTGTTGGGTTGTTGGGGTTGGGTTGTTGGGTTAGGCTGGCTCTGCTGGGCTATTGGGTTGTTGGCAGGGATCAACACAGCCTTTCAATCGTTTGCAACCCCGGATGAGAGCTGCTCGTTTGCAATACTACCGGTGGGTTTACCTCTTTCAAGAGTGACTGTCGGTCATGACAGCCCCAAGACCTTCGTAGCTGGACAAATAGCTAGGACTTTGCACTTCGCAGTAGCACGAGCGACTGCGACTGGGCCAGTAGGGCGGGAGCAGGGCAACCAACACCAAGAGCCCTTTCTCTGCAGCTGTCATTGGGCTTGCCAGCTATACAGCCTGTGGATACAGAAGACTACAGGACTGCTCTGCTCGTGAGGGTGGGTTAAAAGGAACGGCGTCGAAAGAAAAGAAGTGCTTGCACAAGAGTCCAGCAAAACGCAGCATGAGACCCACCCCCTTTTTGAGCCCTTTTTTAGGAACTGTCTAATGTTCACATGGCGTGTCAGAGATTCCTGGCTCCTCCGAATCCGAACTTTTGAAGAATTTTGGGACATCCTACGAAGACCACTCACATTGCTCGACTCCAGAATTTGCGAGATCTACAAGTATTGTGGATTTTTGACCAGGGTAATCCGTGCTAGACTGCGAGAGTCAGAATCGCTTTTTTCCCCCTGTTGGCTTTAAAGGGAATGTATCTCACTATTGGAAGTAGATTTATTTTTGCCAGGAGGGGACTCCAGGTGACCCTGTCTCGGACCTTTCGAGTGGATGTCAACGTCTGGTGCTTTGCAGAGCATATTTTTGCCCAGCGAGGCGCCGAAAGATGACCTCAACCGTAGCCATTTTGGCTCAAGTGGACCTTTTGATCTTTTGTCTTGTGATTTGAAATCTTTCTTTCCCCTACTCTCAAAGCCATGTACGCCCCCGCCTACGCTGGTGCCGCGGTAGCAGAGGCCAAGGCTAAGGCAAAGGCCTCCATGGCAAAGTACCTGGCGAGCCTCGTGAAGAGGGAGGAAGAAGGATGGACCGTTTTGGCTGCTGAGGTCCCTCAGGCACCTGACGAGCGTTTCTTCTCCAGCGCAGATGAGCTGGAGCAGGCCCCCCTTATCCCGGCCAAGCGCAAGGCAGAGGATGAGCCGATGGAAGATGCAGCCCCTGGGGTGGCGCAGGTGCCGAAGGCCCTGACACGCCCCCCAGGGGCGTTCCTGGAGCTCCTGAACCCGCCGGAGGAGGACGTGCCCATGGAGGAGCTCCTGGCGAAGGACGAGAAGGAGCTGCCGATGCCCAGGTCCCCCTCGGCTGCAGCCCGCTTGGAGGAGGCCCGCCTGGATGCCCGGGCAGACGCCAAGTGGCAGAGGCGCCGGGAGCTGATGGCGAAGGTCAAGGAGCAGGCGTCCTCGGAGGAGGATGAGAACCCCGCAGCCCCCCCGCCGGGGGGGAGCGTGTTCACCAAGGCCCTCAAGGTCTCGGAGGGCCTCTACCAGTTCAGCGACGACCAGATGGCGGGCGACTTCCCTTGCTTCGATGCGACCACGGCCACTAGGCTCCGCCGACTGCAGGCCGGGACGTCCAGCGGCTCCTGCGAGGCTTTGAGGGCCCCCAACTCAAGCAGGGGGGCCTGGAGCGCGTTGTGGAGGCCTTCTACATCGCCAAGATGAAGTACGAGCATGAGGCCCGGCTCAGCACCCCGGGACAGCAGGTTGGCAAGCGCGCTGGCTTGGGGTACGGGGGCCTGGAGAACCGCCCCCTGGGCAAGGTGCCCACATCCTGGATCTGCCCCTGCTGCACCATGCCCTGGGTGAAGAAGGGCGCCACGAAGTGCATGGGGTGCGGCAAGAAGACGGAGCCCATTGACACGGCGACCAACTCGGCCACCCTGGAGATGGCGGGCACGCATTGGCAGTTGACGGTGGATGACCAGGGCAATGCGGTCTGGACGGCGGCCCGGTCCGCGGGTGCCGAAGGCCCTGACACGGACCGGGCCCGCGACCTCAAGCTCAGTGCCTCGGTGGACGTCAGCGAGCTGGCCACCGACCCGATGGCCTGCGAGAACCCGGCCAGCCAGCTTCTCGGACTTCGTCCCCTCCTCGGTCCGGGCGGTGATCAGGAACTGCCCCATGGAGCTGGACGAGGAGTTTCTGACGGCCCCACCGGGGGAGAGGCCCCCATTGCCAGGCGACAAGGAAGAGGGCCAGGAATGCAGAGCCTTCCACCCGTCTGCGGTGAAGGCCTTCAAGATTCAGACCCGGCTCAACGCCACCACCATCGCCCAGGAGGAGGCCAAGAAGGCGGACCAGGTGGAAGCGGTGGAGCGCTCCGCGGCGGTCCTCCACGAACTTCAAGGGGGGGCCATTGACGGAGGAGGTGATGGAGGCCTGCTCCTGAAGAACCTGGACTTGGACCTCTTCCGTGAGAAGCTGCTGGACAAGCTGGGTGCGGACTGGGGGAGACCCACACCGGAGCTCCTCCAGGCCCAGACCACTGCGGAGGAGGCGAAAGCGAAACACCAAGCCAGACAGGCGAAGGGCTCCCTCGAAACCAGAATGCTCGAGCCCATCGCGCCTCCCTTCAGTGCGTGGCCTAGTGAGGTCCGGGTCGCCATTGAGACTGGGGTCTTCGAGCCGACAACGGCATGGAGGGACTTCAGTATGGACGACCTCACATCCCTCACGGACTCCTACCTTGAGGCCAAGGCGGTCATCTCGCTGGGTAGGAATCCCTTCCCGGCGGCCCTCCTGTCAGATCTGCCGGA